ATTCCCTCCGCCTTATCTTACGACAATACAAAAACATAAAAACTCCCAGATATTGCTGTGAAACTACCCACAATATTTTCAAGCTCTTACATTTATAAGCATACTTGATATTTATTAACCAAATTTTAGAGAAATCGCCATATATAAAATCATTAATACTCTGGAACACTGACTCGTGTTTACCAGTAACTGAAAATTCAACAGTAATAAAACTTTTCTCCATGCAAAATTTAAAAAAACGCAGCAATTACAATTTTCATAATGTTGATTTTCCTAATTATTGTAATAGTGAACGCGTTCCATCACCCTCAGAGGACGCCATTTTGCCGCTTCGTCTGTTGAGAAGCACTTATTATAGACCTTTCCATACCTTACGTACGCAAACCTTCCTAACCTAACGTAAATTAACTTCCACCCTATGGTAGGTAGGTGTGATTGGTTCAACTTACCTCAAGACATATCATATAAATTATAGTATAAAGAAAACAAAAATGGCGACCTGGAGGTGGTGCGTCAGTCAGCTGAGCTCGACAATTATAAAAGTTGCATCTCTCCCTCTTGTATAGGACAAACCAGAAGTAAGAGAGGAATCTTATTTTATAGAAAGTTCTCCTGAAGTTGCTAGTTAACACGAGTCAGTCTTTCAAAGTTGTTAATGCCAAAATAATCTTACCATCACACGCTGCAAATCTTTCGTCCCATTTAAGTACACCCATAAGTTCTTTTAAGACTTACCTTCGTTATTCTGAGAGTTTACATTGAATGCTTAACACTTTAAACACATTTTCAACACAGTAAAACACTGTCTTATCCGAAACACTAAAAAAAAAAAAAATTCACTAAAAAACAAATACACTCCCGCCGACGACATCCCCGTGACTGGTGGTGGGAGGGACGCGTCGCTCTCAACCTGTGGCTGACGGAGTTTAAATTTCTCATTTTTTTAAAGTACAACAATTAATGTTCACTGGAACATTAATAACAATAAATATAAAATTAAATATATAAAAACTGAACGTATCAGCTACCTAATTAATTTCAGAATAATACCTATTTCGAATGTTTTGAATTGTTATAGCCGTGATTATATTGAAAGAGGTGAATTTTGGACAAGTTAAGAAATGTAATTACGTAGCGCTGTTAATAATGATAGCGCGACTATTACTACTACTACTTCTAATAATAATAATACGTATTTATTTCAGTATCGGTACATATATTACAATACACAAGACAGAGTATATGATTTTTTTACAACTATAATTATATAATTATCACATACGGCACATAATTACGACCTGACAAACATAAAGGTTCTTTACAATCAGAAATAAATTTCCACTCTGATTACCAACATATTCGGAAAACAATCAGGAGAAATCCTCGATTAACAGCCTCTTGTACTGATTACCTGATTGGCTCACATCTTCAGGAACACTCAGATGCCACCCCCGTATAACACCATCTTTGCTCCGGTTATCTGATGGGCCCACTTCGTCAGCAATAATCAGAAGAAAAAAATACGCGTGGACGATCAGCTTACACAGGTCTCAAAGAATTTATCCCTCTGTATACCAGGACACTTAAAAACCTCACAGTCGTAAAATGTCTCCCTGGAACGAGACGCCCAACCACGCCACGCCCCTCCCGGACCTAGGCCACGAGTCGACGGTAATCCTGGAAGAGTTTGGAGAAGTTAAGAAGTTTCTGGAAGAGTATGTGTATATCTAGAAGTGTCTGTGTGAATCTGGTAGTGTCTGGAATTGTCTGGGAGAGTTTACGTGAGTCTAGAAATGTCTGCGTGAGTATGATAGTATCTAAAAGTGTTTGGAAGAGTCTGTGCGAGTCTACAAATGTCTGTGTGGCTAACAGTGTACCAAGTCAGTTACATCCCTCCTTACATCTCTATTTATGACAAAATACAGTAAACTTACTATAAGCATCGAAGATAAGACATTGTTTACATATACAGTACGTCACGGTATCAGGTTCCTCTCGTCAGTACATGAAATTTTCCACGTAATTGAAGGAAATATGAATGCACTTAATTATCTTAACTTATTGTTCAAAAATAAGGTTGAAATTTACTTTATAATTTCATTAATACTCGTACGACAGTCACAGGCTAAGATCAATGAACAGAATGTTTGTGAATGGTAGTACTGATCCTAGCGTAATGTGCTGAGATTTGACATTGTTGTTTTAATGTTATTACTACGCTTCAACAACTAAGGTCTTTAAGGGAATAATAAAGGTTAATAATTACACCAGAACATCAACAATAACAAATTAAGAGAGATGGAACTCACTAGACACAGAGATTGAAGTTGATTTCAAATAGTAATAAATTTTCTCCGCTAACGGTAACACACTTCGCCCACAACCAGTCAGAAACATATACTTTTTTGTGTGTCGATGTAAAGGGAATAAACCTTGAACTCCCTGATGGTATTACGAGCAACATTCAACGAAAATTTTGCAGAGAATCCGTCACATGAAACTCAGGTAAATATACGAACGTCAATCAGTTTACAAATGACAGATGAAGGACATTGTAAAGGATAGAGAAATGTGTAGCAAAAATCAATTCTATTTAAAGTGAATAAGAGAGATTAAACTGATTATATAATCTATGATCTCTAAAACAAAAGAAGGGAAGAAAGCGTCTGGAACAAGAGGAAATTAAATTCACACTGCAGTAGAAAGATCTTCGCTGTTTATATATATATACCTAAGAATAAATAAAGGAAGAATGTTGACAATAGCAGTAAAGTGTTTATACTGGATGAGAAAGATTTAGACTGATTATATTGATCTAAAACCAAAGACGGGAGGTATGCGTGTAACTAGCAGGAGGAGCTGTGTTTACATCCTGGACGTGTGGCGGCGTGCGGTGAGGTGACGTGATCCATGTAGAAGCGACCCACCTTCATCACTGACCGTATTAGTGTATCTAAACCCGGATTCTGAAACATTTATTATTATTTGAAGTACTGTATTATTATTATTATTATTATTAACTACGACACAATAGTAACCACGAAAATTATCACGAATATGAGAATTTTCGGGTCAGCAATCCCAAAGGTTCGTCAAGTCATTTAGATTTCTTTCTCCTTTAGGCAGACACTGTTTACACTCCCTCCCTGGCTAATTATTTAAGTGCATCCACGATTTTCATAGTTCTAAACACACACATGAGAAACAACGCCAATACACATATTCTAACATAAGTAGCCTAATTTACATAACTAACCATAACATTCATAATCCACGCACACGTATATGACAACCATTCCAGCACAGTAATAATTAAGGCAGTGATTGAACAGCTATCACGTGTCGGCCGAGATAACACAGGTAAAGTGAACCGAATCCATCTATCACTGAACCGAATATGCAACACGAAACAAAAAAAGTATTCCTTGGTTTAACCACTCACCTCAATCCATTGTTCGTCAGGGCAGGCAGTCAACAGCGCCATATCAAGCAGAGGACACGCCCGTAGCCACCACGCCCACACCCACTTAATTTAGGTGTCATATGATGATGTATCGTATCGTATCTCGTGTCAGGGTAGAGTGGTGTGGGTGACGTGTGTTATGGTGCGACGGGCTGACACCTGAGGCTGATTCACCATGCACGTGACCTTAACTAATCCGGTGACCTTAACACAGTGGACACAATTCACCAGACATTTTATACCATCTCATGTCAGGGTTTCAATTTAGGGTCTAACAAATTATAGCTTACCAAACTAAACCTAACAATTATCTCAATACAAATCACTATTATTGTCTAACAAACGTAAATATACCCTACGTTTGTGTGCTGGGAGGAGCATAACGTTAATATAGAGAAGAAAGAATGGTGGTAACTAAGGAATCCATAAGTAGTCGGTGGCCGCAGTAGAAACAGGACCCGTCAGCCACCAGCAGTAGCCACCAGGAGCAGAGAAACAAAGGGTGAGGCTTCGAGGCGTGTGAATGAGGTCTCGACTCGTCCCTACTGAACCCTCAAGTATCCGAATCACAGTTTACTAACGAAGATATTAACATCATTGATGAACCACCAACAGGAAAATAACCTTAATTGATAAAGTTTAATTATTTACTACTTTACTTAAAATCATTGGGGGAACTACAAGGTCTGATTCGGGGTTTCGTCGTCCTGGTAATGACGCCATCAGTGAACGAGGATTATAAGCGAGACAGTTGGACTATTAATTGGTTGTTGTGATTGTTATTTACACGACAGTAGATGAAAATAAACAAATTTATTATTTTTTACTTTATTCTTGTAAAGTATAAATCTATGGACGCGCACACACACACACACACTGGTGGCGCGGGGAGTAGGGGTGGAAAGGAGAGTTGACAGGGAGAGAAGGATGTGAGGGAGTAAGGGGATGTGACTGAGACAGGGAGGGAGGGAAGGGGAAGAGAGGGAGGAGGGAGGGAGTTACACAGGCGTACAGTTTTTACCACCAGGACTAACCGGTTTGGTAACCTCCCTTACCGTCGTGTTGCCTAGCTCCCACGCCTTACCACGCCCTCCCATGTTCCCCTTGACCCATACTCCCCTCCCTCCCACGCACATGTAACGACCTCCACGCCCTCCCACACCCAACACCTAACCGCCTCCCATGCCCATCACCCCACCAGCTCCCACGCCCACCTATTACCCACCCCTCGTCACCCCGCACCTCAAACTATACACACACACACAATGCATATTATATCATTATGTCTAAATCTAATGTAAGTCTGTATATTTTCAGCCACCGGCTGCAACTTTATTAATAAACCGTTTATTATTATTATTATTATTATTACACACACACTAGCACGTGCCCGATTTTGAAACCCTAACCTAACCCACTAAGTTACCTCATATAGAAAGCTTATATATATATATATATATATATATATATATATATATATATATATATATATATATATATATATATATATATATATATATATCATTACCATAGCGTGTCTCATGTAAGGCTTGGGAAGTCTTACGACACTAATGATAGTCTGTAATATTATGAACTGTACTTATATTACTGTTTCTTTATTACGGGTAAATATTATCCGTAAAGTAATACTGTAAGAGCGTTATATCATCTGTAAAGCAAGACTGAGGTGGTTGACACGTAACACTCATCTTCTGTTGAACTTTGGTAATACTGATTGTATATCCTTCTTGTGATGGTAACACTGATCTGGGTGTTCACAACAATGGGGTAAAGTTATAATAAAATATATAATTCAATACATATAACAGGTCTAACACTTTTTAAAATTATTATCTTATGATTGGCACAGTAATACCACCCGCTTGGTTCAGCCATGTCAGTATTGATGTTATTGTTCATCTTGTATCTGTATTTTTCTGGCTAAATAAACTGTTTCAGTATCAGTACCTGTGTGTGTTTGGTTAACAAGACTTCTAAATAAATGTTGGGATCAGAAACAGCAGCAGGAGGGGGAGGTGTGGGAGGGAGGGAGCGGTGCTAGTTGGGTCACACTCCAGGGTCCAGATAGCCTTTTCCATCTCCATTTTGGCTTCGTTGAGCGGACACCAGCTGACCCTGCGCGCCATCCAGGGCGGCTGAGTGGTGCTGATGTTTAGGTCCATTACCTCCTCACCGTCCACAAACACTTTCCTCCTAAAGAGATATCCCTCGGACGTTAAGTTGTCACCGAAGGTCAGGCTGTGCCAGTGACGGTGTGCAGGCGTCACAGGCAGGTGTTTACTTTCAAAAAATAAACAATAATCTATTGTTAGTCTGACTTCAGTGGCGTTTACATCAGGCAGGAAGTAAACAGTTTGGTTCCAGCCGACGGACTCGGCTAACTGCATGCACTTGGTGGTGAGACAACCACCGTGGAAGGACACCATGGAAATGGCCAGCTCAATATTGTACCCGAAAATATAAAGGAACTCTGCCTCTCCATTAAGACTCACACTAATACTGTCTTTCCGATCGCCATTTGGTGCCAGGGCGACAGATGTCTTTGACTCTCCAGGTTGAACGTCTATGTGGAAATATTCTCTGCTGCCGCCATGAGACCTTAATGATGGCGGCCACGTATTATTATCAAATAAAACCGAAGATGGCCAAGTCGTGCGCCTGACAGCCTCTCCGTTCTGGCAGTGACCAGCATACACCTCTACGACAGTGAGGCCTCCTCTGGGAACCAGCGTAACACAGGCAAGGAGTGAACCTGTCGCGCTGACCATGACGAGGGAGATGTTTGTGTAGTAGTCCACGCTTGCCATACTCACCACCAGGGGCAACCTCGCCACTACATCGGGAATATTGCGCAGCACATCAGGGTGGATCCAAGACTTACAGTCGGGTACATCAGTGACTGGATAAGGAGTGGGACTTGGGATGTACAGTGGGGTCGTCGTGTCTGTGGTCGCGGGGAGATCTCGAAGGGCAGAGACTAGAGAGATACGGAGAGATGTGATGAGGCTAGAGGAGGTGTTGGGTGGGTGAAGGGTCGAGTCTCCGATGACATGGTCGACCAGAGGCACAAGAAGGAGGAGGAGGACCCAGGTACCAGCCATCCTCACCACTCACACGACAACTGTCATTGAGGAGAGCAAAGGTGTAGTTATTACCTCAGGTGTTGTCTCTTTATACCAATGCACTGTTTGACAAAGTGAAATTAAACATACAGGTGATCGAAATATCCCTGTGCATCAATAATAAAGACTAATGTAGTTTCTCCTGGTTGTGTCTACTGTCTATTCGTTCTACTTACGTCTTCAAACTTGTCAAGGTGCACAGGGACTTTTCGATCACCTAAACCCTCCCAGGTAGCGTTAAATCTTTAAGTGGAATAAACTGTGATGTCTAATCTTCAGGTGATCCAACACACACACACACCTCACATATATTTACTAATCCCGGGTTTTACTTACTTAGATTCTGCTGAGCTACGTCGTGGGAATTGTTTACTCTTAATATACTTGCTTATATTAGCGGTGCTTACCTGAGCAGGTGTTGGTCGGTAACAAGTACTTGTGTCCAGGTAATCCCCAAAATAACCTTTACGTTCTTAAGTCGCTCGGTGTGGGAGTATGTGGGCGTGTCAGAGTGTAGGCGTGTGGGGGTCGTGTAGGCGTGGTCGTGTGGACGTAAAAGTAAGCTCTGGATGTTGGCTTGTTGAAGAGTGCAGGGGAGGGGGAGGGGGAGCAGGACGGTGACAAGCACCTTCCAGCAGTGTTGACGGGTGACTGAGGATGATGCCCGGAGGCAGGTATATTAATATATCCTCAGTTGACTCTCATACTGTACTGTATATCTTGTGTGCTGACCCTCGTGGCTCTCTCTCTCTCTCTCTCTCTCTCTCTCTTACTTATACATTAAATTATTCTCCATCGCACAAATACAACAATTAAATACACCAATTTATCTTCAATTACAACCAAACCAACAATGCATAAAAAAAGTTTAATTACGGAGAAAATCTGTCTATACGTGTAGAAAATCCGTCGAAATACGTAAAAAAATTCCGTCTTATTTAATGGGGGGGCTAGAATAGGTTAGGTTAGGTTAGGTTGGTTAAGCTGAGGGAACAATCTTCAGGTGATCCGTATTTATGTACCTTTATTTTATATATAAATCTGTAATTGTACGAACATTTCTTTAGTACATTTATTGATATTTATACATGGAGGGAAAGACCATAGGTAAAGTTATTATGGTGTGTGTGTGTGTGTGTGTGTGTGTGTCCTATCACTCACCCCTTCCATCCTACCACCCACCACCACCTCTCCCTCAAACAGCTGTGGTGATAATGGTGGTGATAAGACTGCCTCGTTATTCTAAACATCTGCCATCTTGTTATCACCAGAATGTAAACAAATGGTTGGTCACTAACTCTGTCTCCCACACATTACTGTCAGAGGTTCCCGTGACATGAAGTTGTTTATGTGTTCCATGAGTTTGTTGTTTACATGTACTGTACGTTCATTGTTTATACTTACGCCCGTTGTTTATACCTGCGCCCGTTGTTTATACCTACGCCTGTTGTTTATACCTACGCCTGTTGTTTATACCTACGCCTGTTGTTTATACCTACGCCTGTTGTTTATACCTACGCCTGTTGTTTATACCTACGCCTGTTGTTTATACCTACGCCTGTTGTTTATACCTACGCCTGTTGTTTATACCTACGCCCGTTGTTTATACCTACGCCCGTTGTTTATACCTACGCCCGTTGTTTATACCTACGCCCGTTGTTTATACCTACGCCCGTTGTTTATATACCTACGCCCGTTGTTTATACCTACGCCTGTTGTTTATACCTACACCCGTTGTTTATACCTACATACATTGTTTATACCTACGCCTGTTGTTTATACCTACGCCTGTTGTTTATACCTACGCCCGTTGTTTATACCTACGCCTGTTGTTTATACTTACGCCCGTTGTTTATACCTACGTCTGTTGTTTATACCTACGCCTGTTGTTTATACCTGCGCCCATGTCTCTATCCACACCCATACTCACGCCCACACCCACGCCCACAAAAATGAACCCCTAAGATCCTGCTAAGAATTAGACTATATCTCAGGCGTAATGACCCACCACGCCCACGCCCACGCCCATGCCAAGGGGAACAGCGGGGGTACGAATAACTAGGTTGGTTTGTGTGATGAGAGAGAGAGAGAGAGAGAGAGAGAGACGCACAAGGATATATAGAGATAAAAGGCGAGGATAAAAAGAAAAAAAGAAAACTGAATATACATACCACAAAATTAAACATTAAATAAACTGCAATAAACGAAATGAGAAGAGAAAGACGGCAATAAATAAGGGATATAGGAGAGTCGAAAGAGAGTAATACTACTACTACTACTACTACTACTAATAATAATAAACCCGGATAGTCCCAGCGGAGAGTCAAGCGAGAAACTGTAAACACGGAGCAGGTAGCGTTGATTTGACCCAGTTGAGGACGCATTTGGGTACTAATGGTCGTCATCTCTAGTGGGAAGGAAGTGAGGGGCAGAGGTGAGAGGTAGGAGGTGGAGGAAGAAGGAGTGGGTATCGTGTGTCATTTGAAAGACGATGGTTATACGTTCACAAGTCACGTTCAGGATTACACACGTTCGTTTATGTTTGAGTGAATTTTTTTTTTTGCTTTGATTTTACGTTCATTCCTGGGATATGTTTGTTGTGGTTATAAATGATACGAGCTTTTACAGTGAGGTTTTGGGTTTTTTGTTACGTATTTTTAGTTGATGTTTACAGTCACACACTCTCTCTCTAGTTCCTGACTATCACACGAGAACACAGCCTAAGTTATCATTAATCATAAACACAATTATCATCACTCACATAATAAACGATGACAAACATTTGGATGAAACAAAAGAAATTAAATAAAACAGAATAAGGAAGGTTTTCGCCATTTACAAAAGGCTCTAGATGAGTTATTACATTATTTTTATTTTATATCACAAAATACAAATATTTTAGAGGTAGTAACGAAAGAACAAATCTAACCGTGTGAATTTATCTGATAAGGAGGTGGTGTTGGCGGACAATAGGGCTGTAAGACATGTTTTACTGGGAGAAAAATAATTATCCTATCCCTGGCAGCATCACACGAGGTCAGGGAAGTAAACAAACACCCAAGTAGTGAAAAATATATCAGTAAATCGGTCAGGAAAGGCGGATACAGCGGTGGATTCTTTAGTAGTTAATTCACCCTGTTGCAGATTCTTGCTTTGAATACCTGACGAAGGGAGACGACAGTTGTAGAGGACCTCACCGTCACAGGACGCAGAAAGAGTACAAGACTGGCAGTGTGAAGGCGTCAGTCTTGTTTACATGTGCTACCCAAACCTGTATTTAGTGAGGGATAACGTAAGGGTTGTGGGACTGCTACACAGGATATGATTTTGATAAAACTGATGGTGGTGTTAGCGAGGCACCAGTAGTGTTCCCTCCTTGGTGGTGTTAGCGAGGCACCAGTAGTGTTCCCTCCTTGGTGGTGTTAGCGAGGCACCAGTAGTGTTCCCTCCTTGGTGGTGTTCACGGTAGATGTTATATAGACGCCTAGGGCAAGCGCTTTCGAGTCATCACCACTGTTCCCCCATTATGGTGTGGCCCTGGGTCACCACACAGTCACGGTGGAGTCATCACCACTGTTCCCCCATCATGGTGTGGCCCTGGGTCACCACACAGTCACGGTGGAGTCATCACCACTGTTCCCCCATTATGGTGTGGCCCTGGGTCACCACACAGTCATGACAGGCTAGGTTACGGCAGGTCATCCACCCAGGAAGGCAGCAACTGGCCGAGTCCAGGACCTTGTTCGGGGCGCTGGGTGACGCATCGGCGCCCTCAGAGCCGTGAGGGTCCACCCGTGCCCCGGGCGGCCAGGCGATGGCGGCGGGGCAGCAGAAGAGGTGTGTAGGGGGGAGTGAGCGGCACGGACCAGGATGTTTGCCTGGCCCCGCCCCCTCCTCCACCCACACTCCCACCAACTGGTGCCATCCTCTTACTCCCACACCTGCCTCACCTGTCGTGCTCTCTGGCTCCTGGTGTGTGTGTGTGTGTGTGGAATTTAGAACACGAGCGTGGGCCCATCCCCCTCCCGAGGCCCTCCTCACTCACCTCCTACACCAAGTAGTTCTCCTAAGACGGTGATCATTAGTACACTCCATAAACCTACACCTATACCCACCTCCTCCCGACTCTTGGCGACGTGGGAGGGAGAGAAGACACCCACACGGGCCATGGAGGGAGAGAAGACACCCACACGGGCCATGGAGGGAGAGAAGACATCCACACGGGCCATGGAGGGAGAGGACACATCCACACGGGCCATGGACGGAGAGGACAAGGACACCATCCACACGGGTCATGGACGGAGAGGACACATCCACACGGGCCATGGAGGGAGAGGACACACCCACACGGGCCATGGACGGAGAGGACACACCACACGGGCCATGGAGGAGAGGACACACCCACACGGGCCATGGAGGGAGAGGACACACCCACACGGGCATGGACGGAGAGGACATGGACGGAGAGGACACATCACACGGGCCATGGAGGGAGAGGACACACCCACACGGGCCATGGACGGAGAGGACACAGCCACACGGGCCATGGAGGAGACACGGGCCATGGACGGAGAGGACACATCCACACGGGCCATGGAGGAGAGGACACACCACACGGGCATGGACGGAGAGGACATGGACCCACACACGGGCCATGGAGGAGAGGACACCCACACGGGCCATGGAGGGAGGGACACAGCCACACACGGGCCATGGACGGAGAGGACACAGCCACACGGGCCATGGAGGAGAGGACACACCCACACGGGCCATGGAGGAGAGGACACACATGGACGGAGAGGACACATCCACACGGGCCATGGAGGGAGGACACACCCACACGGGCCATGGAGGAGAGGACACACCACACGGGCCATGGACGGGAGGACACATCCACACGGGCCATGGAGGAGAGGACACACCACACGGGCCATGGAGGAGAGGACACACACACGGGCCATGGACGGAAGACATGGCCATGGACGGGCCATGGAGGGAGGGACACACCCACACGGGCCATGGAGGGAGAGGACACACCCACACGGGCCATGGAGGAGAGGACACACCCACACGGGCCATGGATGGACGGAAGGACACACCCACACGGGCCATGGAGGAGAGGACACCCACACGGCCCATGGAGGAGAGGACACACCCACACGGGCCATGGACACACCCACACCATGGACGGAGAGGACACAGCCACACGGGCCATGGAGGGAGAGGACACACCCACACGGGCCATGGACGGAGAGGACACATCCACACGGGCCATGGACGGAGAGGACACATCCCATGGACGGAGAGGACACATCCACACGGGCCATGGAGGGAGAGGACACATCCACACGGGCCATGGACGGAGGACACACCCCACACGGGCCATGGAGGGAGAGGACACACACGGGCCATATAGTGTCCCCAGTGGGTCGTGGTGGTGGTGTGGGAGGCTTTTCGTCCATATCGGCCAGTGACCTAAACACACCTCGCCTCGACCCCTTACTCCTTAGCCTTCTCCTTACTCCTCAACCCTCTCCCCTTCTCTCTTACTCCTCAACCCTCTCCCTTACTCCCTGACCCTCTCTTACTCCTCCAACCCTCTCCTTGACTCCCTCTCTCCCTTACTCCTCAACCCTCTCCCTCACCCCTTACTCCTTGACCCCTCTCCCCTTACTTCCCCTCTCTCAACCCCTCTCCCTTACTCCCTTGCCCTCCTCCTCTACTCCTCCCTCTACTCACCCTCTCCCTTACTCCTCTCTCCCTCCTTGACTTCTCCTCAACCCCTGTTACTCGACCAACCTCTGACGAACTACAAACAGATTCCATCAATAAAATATTCAAATTTGATCACCTGAAGAAGAGTAGACACCACAGCTTATTTATTGAAGAAAGTCATTTCACCTGAAGAAGAGTAGACACCACAGCTTATTTCACCCGAAGAAGAGTAGACACCACAGCTTATTTCACCTGAAGAAGAGTAGACACCACAGCTTATTTCACCTGAAGAAGAGTAGACACCACAGCTTATTTCACCCGAAGAAGAGTAGACACCACAGCTTATTTCACCTGAAGAAGAGAAGACACCACAGCTTATTTCACCTGAAGAAGAGTAGACACCACAACTTATTTCACCTAAAGATTAGACACCACAGCTTATTTCACCTGAAGAGTAAACACCAGTTTATTTCACCTGAAGATTAACCACCCTAACACTACCTAAGGGGATGGGGTTAAGTTAGGTGAGCATTACAGTGGTTAAGCTGGGGGGTGTCTAATTTTCATGTAAACTAAACTGGGAATGTCTAGAGAGAGAGAGAGAGAGAGAGAGAGAGAGAGAGAGAGAGAGAGAGAGAGAGAGAATAAATTTGAATAAAGAGAAAAACAAATAAATAAAAACTGAGAGAGCATGGAATTATGAAAGAAAGAAAAAGAGAGAAAAAAAGAAAGAAATATAGAAAGAGAAAGAAAAAAAGAGAGAAAAAGAAAGAAATAGAAAAAGAAAAAGAAAAGAAAAAAGAAAAAAAAAGAGAGAAAACGAAAAAAAACATTAAAAACACATACACCAACACCCACTCCGTCAACATTATCAATAAACACTCAAACATCAGCTCTCGTCCAGGGCCATTTAAAGAGACGTGTGGCCTCATAAGGAGAAAGTGACAACAAGACGACCAGCTCCATAAAGAACAAGAGACGATCACATAACTGGATTAGGTTAGGTTTAGGTTAGGATTCAGTCGTTTATTAAACCTTTGATGTAGATTCTGATTCTTTAAATGGACTATGATGATGATGAGGGGGGCGTGTGTGGGTGTGTGTGGGTGGGGTGGGTTGTGGTGGGAGGGGTGTTGTGGGTGGGAGGTGGGTTGTGGTGGGTGTGTGCGGGGGGGTGGTGGTGGTGAGGGGTGAGGGGTGGGGACTTGTAGGGTTTGTGGATGTAGTGGTGATACATACATACATACATACATACATACATACATACATACATTCATATATCTGTCTGTCCGTCTGTCCGTGATATAGAGTTTTCATAGCATTATTATCAAAGTTCACAATAAATTAAAACCTAACCAAATCTAACCAAACCTAACCTAACCAAATCTAACCAAACCTAACCACTGGACATGAAAGTAGAGCTGGTGGCTGTGTGTCCTGGGGGCTCCCCCGGATACGCCCCTGATTACACTAGGCAGGATATGTGTGTATGGTGTGTGTATGATGGGTGTATGATGGGTGAGGTGTACTTCAGCTTGGGTGTCGTTCTGAATACACTAGACCAGTGGTTCTCAAAGTTTTTTTCCAGTTTTACCCCTATATAAAGTCTAACAGGTTCGAATTACTCCAACGTAAAATTTTACTCCTTAATTCTATTCAATAAAGTGTATTGTACAAAACACAAGTGTACAATTGAAGTGTGTCTTATACAAAAATCAATAATAGTGCTACAGTTACAGTGCTGTTATAGACTTAGTCTTAGTGAGATGGATGAACTTGTGTTGTCGACACCAGATTTTGGATGCGTGGTTTAGTCTTTGACAGAGCCAGCCTCATATCTGAGCTTGGAACGAACCGGTTTCTAGTCTTGGACTTGATGTGGTACACTGCCGAGAACCCAAGTTCACACATATAGGTCGTGGGAAATGGAAGAAGTACGTCGATAGCCCGAGTCATTAGAGTTGGGTATCCCACTGCTCCTTGCTTAAACCAGAAAGATGCAATATCCTCGACAGTGTCGAATGTGCTACGGGTCACGGAATCATTTCTCAACTTCAGGAATTCGTCTTTTGCAGAGTCGTTGTCAGAAATGACATCTTCGGCGACGAGAAATGGTTGCTTCATCCATGCGGTGTTCGTCTCCAGAGCCTTGCTTTCAGGAAAATATTTTGTCATTGACGTCTTGAGTGTGAGCGAATACTTCACAAGTTGCCAAACGCGGCAAACGTAAGTGTTATAAGTGTTAAATACGAGGTTACCCCACCGTGCCAACAGAAGCGTGTTACCCCAGCCAGAATGTAGTTTTTACCCCAGTTGGGGTAATTACCCCGAGTTTGAGAACCACTGCACTAAACAGTACTGTTGTTTGATGGGAGGAAGGAGGGTGGGGAGGATAGGGGGAGGAGGAGGAGGAAGAGGAGGGGAGGGATGGGGGAGAGGGAGGAGTGGGAGGGGTAGAGGGAAGAAAATAAAGAGGAGAGGAGGAGAGGGTAAGGGGAGGCGGGAAGGTAGGAGTAGAGAGCGAGAAGAGGAAAGAGGAGGGGAAGAGAGTAGAGAAGAAGAAGGAGGAGGGGGGGAGGGGAGAGTAGAGGGGAAGAGGTTCAACAGCAAAAAGGTTCACATCTCAAGAGGTTCACTACACACACACACACACAACCCCAGGTGAGCTAAGGTGACCCCCACACACCTGCATATTGTGAACAGGATCTAGAACAGGAGGTTAATTTATCAGAGGATAGATAGATAGATAGATAGATAGTGAGAAATAGAGACAAGACGAGAGAGAGAGAGAGAGAGAGAGAGAGAGAGAGAGAGAGAGAGAGAGAGAGCATTACTGTACCTGTACTTTATATGTAACTCTGTATCTGTGCCGTAAGTTACTGTCACCACAAGGTAATTATTGTACCTGTAACTCGTTATAAATCTGTAATTATAATGATATTTAGTTAAGTCGTAAGTTATTTTTTTCCTCGTCTGTGAGTAGTAACTGTTGAAATGTATCTCACTACCTGACTTAAGTTATTACATCCAAAATGGCTTCTTTATTGCATTATGACTGTATTTTAACCTGATGTGTGTGTGTGCGCGCGCGTGTACCTGCTCACGTGTGTGTTAATAATTTCTCTTATGCATAAAGCCTCCGCCCAAAGTGAGGGTCGAACCCAGGTCCTTGAAACCCAAGGACGACAGATGGTACCAATTACCTTCACTTGTTCCTGATCACACCACCCACAACCTGCTCGCTTACACTCACCTAACCTAACCTAACTTAACACCTGACCTCCCAAAAAGATCGATTTATACCTGAACCTAACACCTGACATTACAAATAGGCCTAGTTAACATATACCTCACACCTGTCACTTAAGAAAGATAAAATATTACTTTTTAACACCTGTCGCATCATAAAAGATATTAATTAACCTGGAGGTAACACCTGTTTCTCTTGCCCTCCTTCGGTGTTCCTTTGATGTCCCTCACAGCCTTCCTATATTTAGCCTGGCGGTGAGTCCTTTGACCACCGCCACCCACCACGACTAAACCAAAACTAAACCACTGTAACATTTCTCCTTAAACCAAAGATTTAAGGTAAAATCTCACTTAAAACTCACAAATTACAGGAACTAAAATACAGTACTGTAAGTGTTCTGGTGTCTTAGTTACAGGGGAAAAGAGGCCTGAGGGTATGATTTTTTTTGTGTGAATCTGGGGTTAGGGCTGAGCAGCAACGCCCGGGTGTGTTTCTCCAGCACTGGCGTTTACACACACAATATCTTGAAGGTTTTTCTTGGGTGATTGAGTAACCTTTAGCCTTCTGGCGGCCGGTAGGAGCCCCTGGCCAAATACGGTTCCTGGCGACGGGAGACGTGGCAGGGGTGTCGCCCACGCTGACGGAGGACCACCCCTTAGTAGGTCTTGGAGGAGGGCGAGGTCTGTTGGGCGGTGGACCTCTCAACACTTTGTTCTAAATATTTAATCTAATCTAACCTAATCTAGCCTAACCTAACGTAACCTAACCTAACCTGGCAGTACAAAGGGGCTCTTGGGTGGACCTCCGTGATATGCAAATGATATGGTAAAGGTTAGGTTAGGTTTGGTTAGGTTGGGTTAGGTCAGGTTCTTGATGTGATACGGTATGATAATGACGGTGGTGGGTATAATAGTTGTATATTGTGGTCTGAGGTCGAGGTGATTATCATATTGGGTACGAGTTTAAAGAGGATTACCTGAAGATTAATCACTATAAAGCTTATTTCACCTGAAGATTTGCCACAAAAAGCTTATTTCACCTGAAGATTAGGTTAGGTTAGGCTGGGGTGACTAATCTTCAGGTGGTGATCCGAGGACAGCATCATGATTCACGAGTTCGATATATTGTGAAGTCACGAGGGGCGTCGACGGCAGGAGGGAGAGACAATTTCACGGGTGAGCACAATCCCTCCTGAGGGCGGTGGACGCGAAATGACACGCAATTTTCATGTTCCTCTGAATTATAAAATGAGGAGACTAAGATTTATCCCACGAGGTTAATGATACGTTAAGTGAGAGAAAATGTGGTGTTGAGAGAGATTTGGGTTCAAATATACGGAAGGAATTCTGAAAAGAAACCCGTTCATTACAATTCAAGGTGGACGGATATGTCATGTGTGTGTGTGTGTGTGTGTGTGTGTGTATGCGTGACAGACAGAGATAACGACGGTGTATCTACAGACAACGTAATGCAACTCAGAAACCCACAGTCAGGTAAGTCAGTCTGTGAACACCTCGGCCTAACCAGGTGTTGGCGGGTCACCTGGAGAGTTGGGGGGCGTGGCACCTGTACAATCGCTGCCTTGATTACCTCTGAATACCCAGGTAATGGCTCCAGGTTGCTGATCTAATTGGCGGGTCCCCCATTTGGAGTCCCTCGTGCCGTGAGAACCATCCCCGCCCTGAGCCTGCCCGAGGTGTGTAAAGATAAGATAAAAGATAAGACCGACAAAATATTTAATATATTAAAGCTGCCTAAAGTCGAGGTCAACCACTGGGAGATTAATAAGACACGGAACATGGAAGTCGTCGATATTCAAGGTGTTCATAAATTATCTCATACGTTTTAGAACTTAATAACTTGAAGAACATTATTGATAAGAACATGTCTGTGTTCTGTGTATAATATTTTTAAGGTTAATATATGGATCACCCTAATACTACCCTAACCTAACCTAACACCACTCTCCAATATAGTGTTATTAGGGTGGTTAATCTTCAGGTGACTTAAACTCGGATGTCTAATCTTCATGTGATCCGAAATAAAATAAATGAACCTGGATAAAATTTCCTGACCAGCCAATGAAAACTCGACATTGTTACCCTGTCTAAAATTCATTGGACAGTAAAGTAAAGCAGAAATAGATTCATCAGCTTAACTCATTATATTTTATTGGTACTAAATAAAATTATACAATGACACTTGAACGATAATAAAAACCATTCCACTAAATATTTTCAACCGTCTTAAATTATTGTAACGGACAATTCAATTTAAAATAATAACAAATAATGGTGTTCTATTAAAGACTCTGCAACACAGACACACACACACACACACTGACGGGGTTGTTCAGCGGGAAATAATACTTAATTTATTTATATATTGAGAGCCATTTTAGGTAGAAGGTGATGACTGCCTGACGCCTATGGATTAGTGGGCAGAAAATATTGGACAGTGAGAATGTTAGTGTGTAGAGATAAACAAGATGAGTTGATATATAGATAATGCACACACACACACACACACACACACACACACACACACACGCACACACACACACACACACACACACACACACACACACACAATGCTGAATCCTAACGTTGAATATCACAAGTAAAAATGGTTAGGTTAGGTTAAGTGAGAATAAATATTGACTTTGAGCTTCACTTGTCAGGACCTCTATGATAATGGTGGTGAAAGCTACTCCCTGTTTGCGTGCGTGCGTGTGTGTGTGTATGTGTGTCTACCTGTGTTGTCTGTGTACCTGGTGTGCTTCTGTGTGTGTGTGTGTGACGATTTTACTGAAGGAATGTATCTATCTATCTATCTATCGATCTATCTACCACAGAAAATTCTAATTAGTAAATCTTAAAACTTAAAAAAAAAAAAACTCAAATGAAAACGTCAATATTTATCCAGTAATATCAATGTTAACTTGAAGATAATAATTGGCTCCCGTCACCCACGCTCACACACTACGCCAACTTCTAATTTGGCAGCCGAGATATGCGCCAATTATGATGTTATTAGATGAAATTGGATCAAAGTTAAAAAAAATGAGTTTGAGAATATTTTGTTACGTGAGTGAGGCGTGTTGGTTACTCGTTCCTACTGGAGAAAAAAAATGATGGTAGTGTTTGCTGCTTGTTCATGCTGGGAGAAAAATTGCTAATTAAGTTTTCCTTCTCGTGTTTTTATTATTATTATTATTATTTACCATTATTTTATTATTATCATTATTATTATTGTAGTTATCATTTTTATTATTATAATTATTAGTAGTAGTATTTTATTCCTGATCCATCCTGTATTTATAAGTCACGTCAGCTTGTCAGGTCAGAGTCGAGGACCTGTCTGGTGGGCTCTGACGGGGACCTGGATCCAGTGGCCGCCCAGGGCTCAGGTTCTCAGAGATTAGTGTATTTTTTCCACCTATTAGGAGTTGTGGTCACCTATCTAACTCAGAGGTTCAGAGACTCATCTAAGACACAAGGATGGGCTCTCAAGGGTTCAATAACTCATCAAGCTGACTCACTGAACCCAAGGCAGCTCATTAACACACAAGGATGGATTAACAAAGATTTGTACGTTAAATTTTTCTTAGGAGGATTTTGACCTTATCTTTTCACCTACAGTGGACTCTTTATAGCTTACGTTAATAACTCACTTAAACTATAGGGATAAAATATGGCAGCCAAGAATGGTACCAAAATCGCACAGAGACTCTGCCTTACACTGGCATGTCCTCTTGTTGTGGAGTTGGGAAATTCACATAAAAATTGTTTGAGAAGCCGGATTCAGGTTGTTGTGTGGAGCCAGACGTGGGCGGTGGTGGGTGGAGGGGTAGGTGGACGGGGGAAGACGTGGGTGGTGGTGGGTATGGGCGGTAGAAGGAGGGGGAACACTTAAGTTGTGTGGGGGAGGAGGGGGGCAGACGTGGGTGTTGGTGGAGGTGGAGGAGGGGTCAGACATAGGTGTCAAAATGTCTACTAATAATGACAACAACAACAACAACCGTAATAGTAAAAATAACAATAACCATAATAATAACAACATCTACACTCAACGTCAATCACCAAAATACACTTTTACAGAATCCCCTCCCACAAATCCACCCTTCAAAACAAAGCCAAAATCCGGGTTTGAATAGGAGAACGCTCCCTACTGCAAACAAGACCAATCCGGATTTACAAAAGACGAACGGGCACAAGAACAACTCCAGCAAAGTACAGTATAGCCAGATAAAGAGATTAAAAAAAAAACTCACTATTATTCTAATGCAAATCTTATAGTTGTGTGGATAGCCAACGATGTTTATCTGGCAGTACTATACAGGTTAACAATACAGCGTGAATCTCTGTTTACATACAGTATACGATAACTTGATCACCTACAGACGACAGCGTAACCCACACCAGGATGATGATAATGATGAATTTATCGCTTAATTATGATCACTGAATATACTATTATACTCTAAGGTAGGAATATACGGATCAGATATACTAACCCTTTGAATATATAATTAAACGCCTGATTGCGATGCCCTAATTACTGTCATTTGGATGTAAATTATTGTATGATAAATTGAGTTCAAGGGTCAAATGATTTAACCCTTTCATACCATACCTCCTAACACCTGAGGGGATAGATAGATAGATAGACGATAAAGATAGATAGATAGAAAGATAGATGTACAGATAAATAGATAGATAGATAGATATATTTAGATAGATATTTAGATAGATAGATTGATAGACAGATAAGTAGATAGACAGACAGACAGACAGATAGACAGAGATAGATAGATAGAGGTTCCAAGCCCTGAAACCTCTAACACTTTAGCTACGACACAAAGATAGCGCCCACACTGTCTTCGAGAGCTTGTAAGAGATGAGGATGATAACAGGTAAGTTAGGAGAGAGTATGGCTAAGACCAGAGTTAGGGGTGAAGACGGTGACCAATGTGGGGTGAAGGATAGGTAGGGAGGAGGGATAGGGGGAAGGGTAGGGAGAGAGGATGTTAGATAGGGGGGCAGAGCAGGGATGGGTGGTAGGGGGGAGGATAGGCAGGGATAGGGAATAGGCAGGGGGAAGGGATATGGGAGAGGGCGAGGTAGGGGGGAGGGAGGGAGAGCTAGGTAGAAGGGAGGGAGGGAGGGGGTGTTGGACAGGGGGTAGGGAGGGGGAGCTGAGCATGGTGGAGGGAGGGGAACTGGGTAGGGCGGAGGGAGGGGGAGGTGGACAGGTAAGCAGGCGGGCTGTGAGTCACCCCCAGCATGTTACTCCACTCCAAATTAGTCGAGCGTACAGGTGCAAACTCCTGACTGGCACCCACCTCTCTCCCTAACCTAACCTAACCCCTACAACCTATAACATACAACAACTCTTTACCTAAAAATTCACACAAATTAAACAAACTACAACATAAAATACATAACACACACACACACAAAACAACTAACAACAGAAATAATATAATTCTTATCTTTAACAGCAATCAATCGTTTATATAACACGTGTATAACATCGCCAATACCATTATGATAATCTCGAGGCGACGGTAAAAATGTTTACATATAATTTCCTTGTTGATGATGTTTATTTATTGTTCATTGTGATTTATATTACTGTAGTGTTTTGTTTATGTTATTCCTCCGTCCATTGTGATATGAGTGTGTGTTTATCTACAATTGTTGCTTCACTGGCTCCAAGGTAGGTGTGTGTGTGTGTGTGTGTGTGTGAGTGTGTGTGTGTGTGTGTCAAATAATATACCACTTTTATCGGCCTTTTTTTCATTAAACTTACACAACAACAGGTAAAGGTCCGCCATCTTTGTTTACCTGTAGGAAGGCGTCAATTACCGTCTTATTTATTTATTTATTTATTTATTTATTCATAACATTTGCATTTCTTGTTTCTCTAATGAATGACTACAAGACAACCTTTATTCTTTATGTCTGTATTACGGCAGGTTAAAAGCGTCACCTGAAGATTAGACACCCTAACTTAATCCATCTTATAATACCTTAATGCTACCTGGAGGGATGAGGTTAGGTTATATAGGTTAGGTGAGGTTAATTAAATAAATTAGGTTGGGCAAGAATCGGCTACGTTAGAAGAAATTAGCTAGTATTAGATTACCTGTAGGTTAAGTTAGGTTAATCTTAAAAGTAAAATAAACTGGGGTGAAACTTATCTCCAGGTAAGGTTAAAGCATATTATACAAGTTACGCAACAACCCACGCGTAAGAGGAGTTTACTACGCATTTTCACTGTCTTGCTTAAACACGCCTCGATACTAACTTATACCTGGATAAAGCGGTCCTTTTATTGCCCTGTGTTTACACCCACCTCTATACTAACATATACAAATTATACATAGATAAAGCAGTCATTTGTACAGTCCTCTCTTCCTTACATACACCTCTATTTAAAACATGTCCAGAAATGTGTATAATCCCAAAACAACGGAAATCACGAAATGGTGAAGAAAAAAGTATGGTCAGGATAATGTACAGGTATATAGATAACGATGATTTGCAGAACTAAGGAATATTATTTAAAAAAAAGTCATCGGTAAAACCAAACAAAAACGATATAGGTAAAGACATTGGGATGAAAACAAAAGAACGAAATGTTGTCAGGTGCAAAAGCCACGAAATGCACTTGGAGTGTAAATTGTAAAATGAACAAGACGTAAAAAAAATAAAAATAAAAAATCGGTAGAAAATGAATACTCAGTGGGACGGTAAACTATTCAAATTAGAGCACACACATAATACATGTCAATATATTAGCCAATAAAATACAGGAAAATGCATGCACTAGATAAGTCATGATATAAATGTAAAATATGAAACAAATCCCTTACATTTTTACTTTACAATTACTGTATTACAATCTACGACAACGTTGAAACCCACACACACAGACAGACACACACACACACACACACACCTTATACACTATACTTCACAAGACCAAACAAAACGAAACAGGAACGCAAATCACTAATATTACCCATACGATAATTATAACTCAAACAAATTTTCAATACCAGAAAAATAAATAAAATAACCAAGATATATAAGCATAAACAAACCCACGTCCAACCAAAACAAAACAAAAGCTATATCTGTTACACTCTACTGAACAAAACAGAACAGAACAGGATCCGAATTCACTCACATCCTCTTGCGGTAAATGTAATATGTAGCCCCCCAACACACCCACCTAAAAAAAAAAAACTTACGATCTGTGGTTATCAAGGGGTAGCAGCAGCAGCAGCATCAAGCCCACACGTATTCTTCTCTCACCGTAGGTTACTGAACTGAGAGACACTAGCTGGGTCGGAGGGAACTATAGTGTGGGTGGCGTCTACCTGTGAGTGAGAGAGTTAGAGATTAAGCGAGAATTTGTATGGGTATGTTGATGTGTGTGTGTGTGTGTGTGTGTGTGTGTGTGTGTATGTGTGTGTACATCAGTCTCAACATTTCATCACTACACTAACAAATTTTCTTTTTATCATTGTTCATAATTTTTTCTTATTCCTTTGTTTCTTCTTCATCCTCTTTATCTCCTATCCATCCTCCTCTTTTCTACTTATTTCTTAACATTCCTCCTCTTCTGTGTTTATGTCAAAATTAAGTGACTAATTTCACATTCGAGTTTCGTCAATATCTATTATAAACGTTTCTATATCTCAATAATATTTATAAATGAAAAAAAAAATCAGTATTCAGCTCATGTGTGTCCACTCACCTCCGTCAACCACCACCATATTAAAATCTGTTCACGTGAAAATCATATAAAACTTTTTAAAACAAACGAAACGGACCTTCACGTTTACCTAACTAAAAGACCTTTCACTATATAGTTTATTTACGTTACCGGTATGTATGTCTTGGTTGCGTCTTGTGTGTTGATTTTATCTTTGGAAACATAAGAACAAAGAAGAGGGAATATAGGAAGAAAAATAAGAGGAATGTGAAAGAATTAGCAGGAAAGAAAGAGAAGGACGAGAAGTCATCACTAGGCTCGACACGCCTCTCCTCTGCTACACGCCACAGTTCATAACAACAGAGTAATTTGATGTTTACGTTGAGTTTTCCAGATGTATTGGTAATAACGAACGCTAATTACTTCAAATTATCAGGTATTAGTTGTCTTGTCTGTTTGTCAAATAATAACTTTGTGGGTGATGGTGTAATTTTCAGTTTATATCTAAACACATATTTTGTCGGTATACGTACATACATTCATACATATACAATATACAGTACAACCAAACACAAACATCCAGCTATTCATTTGTATAAGACAAAACTATACATTTAAGATTACCCACACGTAGGGACCATCCCTTACGGCTGAAGGAGTGGCACCATGCTCTGTGTGTGTTGGTACAGTAAATATCCTTGCCCGTAACTGGAGAAGTGAGACTGTATCTAAACTGTCTCACTTAAAAATTGTGACACGAAGATGGATTCCGCTTTTTCAAGAGAATGGGGCAATCATGAGGTGGCAGATAGGCGTTGCACTCACTCACACACTCACACACACACACACACACACGTTAATAATCGCTTGGGAGCAATTTGGGTAAAGATTTTATTTATATAACTGAAGGTGCCTCATTATCTCTTATTAAATAACGTCAATCAAAGGCTTCAAACCTGAATTTCGTGAACAAAGGCAATTGTGAACCAGTTTTCAATCCGCTTATTTCTGTCTGTGTTCATTAGCAATACTTCAGTTCCTACCCACGCTAATCAGAACTTAGACCATCGTCCTCAAAGGGTTAACTTAAACCATCGTCCTCAAAGGGTTATAACTTAAACCATCGTCCTCAAAGGGTTATAACTTAAACCATCGTCCTCAAAGGGTTATAACGTAAACCATCGTCCTCAAAGGGTTATAACTTAAACCATCGTCCTCAAAGGGTTATAACTTAAACCATCGTCCTCAAAGGGTTATAACTTAAACCATCGTCCTCAAAGGGTTATAACTTAAACCATCATCCTCAAAGGGTTATAACTTAAACCATCGTCCTCAAAGGGTTATAACTTAAACCATCGTCCTCAAAGGGTTATAACTTAAACCATCGTCCTCAAAGGGTTCAAAAAATCACCCTACAATGACCGCATTCTAACTAACCCATCTCTTTTAAAATCTTCCTTAAGGGTTAAGACATTCTCAAGGCTCATTACGTTCACCTTTTTACCCTAGCTGGAGATAAAGAGAATATCCAGTTGTGGTAAAGTGTTAGTATGGCAGTTTTAATATCATCTTAGCTGCCAAATTTGTGTCGTAGCTTAAATGAGTCGGTTTGACGTCTGTGCATTATTTCCTGCTTTTGAATATTTAACGTATGTATATTTTGTTATAATGTGAACCCCGTTGCTATTTACCAATTCTGCCATTCAATTTATCCTAGTAACAGCCGTAAGTCCACAACACTTCATTTTCACCCTTCGCAGTTCTGACCGTTCGAAGGGTAATATTATCTATGCAAATGTCCTTTATATAGCGGGTATTTAAATGACTGACATGGTTTCCCGCCTACAGCCTAATCCCAACATGGCTGTGGGGGAGCCTCGGGTGTCGGAGTGATGCAAACTGAACCTCAAAATGTGGCTGTAATCTTTTCTCCTTTAACTTACGACCGCACTTCAGTTATATATCATCCTGAAGTTCATTTTAAAAGCTTAATTCGTATGTTTTTCTCCATATAAATTGTGAGTTGTCAGCCATTACTAACTTACGAAATGGAGTTAGTAATTGAACGATTTTTTTTTACGTGCCTCAGGTGTTAAGGATATTTACACCATGACGTGAATGTTGTGCTTATTCGAATGTCGACTGGATTACTGCATGTGCATATTTTAAGTCTTAAAAGATGTTTTATACACAAACCTGGACCCGAATTCTCAGAGATTCGGACGTGAAGGGTAGTTTAGGTTACAACTAATAGGGTTTGTCATCGATGCCAGTAAAATATATCCTCACGTCAGTTATGGTGATAATTAATGAGTGAACGTAAAATCTACATCTCTACACTAACTCAAGAGAGACATGTGTTCTCCCATCATCAGTTTGATGGAAAATTTGAAGTACGAAGTTACGAACCTTTCAGCATCCGGGACCAGTACCAGTGGCGTCAATGACCGCCATACACCCACACGCCTCCACGGTGGCGGCCCAAATCCTACCTGACCGTACTCAAACTGGATGGGCGTATATTCTTAGAGATTCGCAAGACATGGGGCAAAGGAGTCTCCGCTAGAAAATTTTATATATTTTTTTTATTATTTTTGTTTTAATTTGAACCCTTGTCGGGAATATCGTCCGCCACCAACAAAATGTCATTCATTCATGTACAAAATTTTGTTTGAACACATCCATTAATGTTATCTGGGCTTTGAATGGTTAGACAAAAAATAGTGTTTTATGGTGAATAAAAGCATTAAAAAAAAGTAATATTTTTTTTCACATGCTGTTGACTAGTAGCGACTCCCAACTTTTTTTACTCCATTTCCCCCTTAGGGAACCTGAAATCCCCATGGACCCCTTCAGGCCTTCACTTTTCCCCAATAACCCGTAATAATAATTATAAAAAAAGCTGACATTCACCTAAATTTGACTCGTATAATTAATGATCACATACAGTAATGTCATAATAAATATCGCATAAATTTGGCTCCCAACCTTACAGTAATCCGTTAGATGGGGGGATTCACATCTAACGGATCCTTGATATAAAGGACTTTCATCTCTATATTGTTCGTTAGATGGAGGTTTCACTGTTATCAGATAAATATTTTGCTTCTTGTATCCAGTCAAAATACCTACGGTATTCAGGTTGAAGCTAATACAACAGTACATACATAATACCTATACCACCTGTTTACATGTATTATCTGTATATATATTGGTACTGTGGTTAATAGCTGTTGTGGTGGATGCAGTACCTGTAGATGAAATTTGGGATCACCTGAAAATTATCCCAGTAGCTTATTTTACCTGTTCATTAAACACCCTAATGCGACCTGGGTGAAATAAGACGGGGGGCCTAATCTTCAGGTGATCTAACATCTCTTACAAAGCAATCTTACCTGAATGGAAAATGCAAGTACAGTACTGTACAATAGTAGAGATGAACATCTCAGTTAATTTATTTTAATGAAGTTATGAAGGAAAATAATGGTTATTTAAATCATATCTTCATAATGTATAATTTATTATATAATGAATTTGTGTCATAGGTATCAATCACCCTTGTCTCCCTATCTCAAGAACTATACTGTAGTTAAAAGAACTCATTTCTTAAAAAATAATAATACAGTAATGATAAAATAATAAGTCTTTCATGTGATCAACCTTACATCATGTTTTACAAATTTGTAAGACATTTTTCACCAAGTACTGTATAAGAAATAAAAACCTCAATACAGTATTATATAAAATTTAACATGAAAATAGAGCAACATACAATTCCCATCAATTGTTAATAAAAAAAAAATTACATACAGTAAAAAGAATCCAACATTTTAATAAAAACATATGAAACTGAACACATCATTACTACATTTCTAAATTTCTTGTAAAAGATTTATACCCATGTAGCACCAAGGTATCAATAACTTCCGAGTCCAAGCGTCTAAGTTTACAATACCTACCAGTACATTTAGCTCGGTATAATTTCCTGGTCACATAAAATATCAGACTTCCAGGTATTAGAAGAGTTATGCTTTTATATAATATGAGACAGTTAACTTACTTGAATACAACCATGACTGATAATACTAAATTGTGTTCAGCCAATTAAAATAAAATAAAGATTTATGTATCAACAACAAATGTTTCTTATACAGTATCCAAAATGCAAAATACAATAATAGAGTCGATACAAGTTGTCATGTACTACTGTATATATCTCTGCTTCCTGTCCTCTTTTTGTATTGGAATAATTATGCTGAACTGTACTGTAATGCCTACTGTAGCTACATCCCTAAAAGTACAACTACTGTATCCCCTGTAGTAAGTACCAGGGTATGTGTAAAAAAAATACCGTAAATAAATTATTAAATAAATATATCAAGAACTGCTGAAATGCTTAAATTTTAATTCCGTAATCCCTGCAAGTATTAAATCCTGAAAACTTTTAAATTTTACTTTATTCTTATTCTTAAAAGTTCCTAAACCTTGAGCTTCATATAAGACAATTTCCGTTCTTTTTAATGTGTTTTATTACTAGTCACAAAGGGTGGAAAACATATTGTATAATAAATAAAAATAATAATTAAATGGAGAATCTGTATACAGTTAGGACATTTTTTTTCATTTACACGAGATTAAGGACGTTGGCAAGAGATACGACAGTACC